AGGTAGTGCTTCCAATGCGTGAGCGCCTCGCGCAAGGCGTAGAGCTCCCGCATGTATGTGGAAGTGACTACCTTGTGGCTGGGCATGCGTTTGCTATAATATTCAAGCGGACGCCGGCCATCGCCATCATCTTGTTGCAGCACTGCACCAATCCCAAACTGGCTCGCGTCCGTAGTGACTATGAACGTGAGGTTGGGATCCGCAATGCGGAGCACAGGATGACTCACCAAAGCCTCTTTCAAGGCTTGGAACGCAGTCTCACACTTTTCACACCATGCATAGGTAACATTCTTACTAGTCAGGCGTGAGAGTGAGTGAGCAATGACAGAGACCTTAGGCACAAACTTCCGGTAGTAAAAAGCCAAACCAAGAAAAGAACGCAGCTCGCGTACATTCGCCGGTTGAGGCCAGTTGCGGATGACCTCAACCTTGGTTGCCTCCGCCTCAAGACCGCTTGCAGACAACCGGTGCCCAAGGTAGATGACGATGTCCCTGCCAAACTCAGATTTCTCCAAGTTGAGGTGCAGTTGAGCATCTTTGAGGACTTGCAAGACCTCCTCGAGATGCTTGACGTGCTCCTCCATGGACTTGCTAAAAATCAGAATGTCATCGAGATACACAACCACAAACCTGTTAAGTTGGTGGCGGAGTACCTTGTCCATGAGGGACTGAAATAAGGCTGGTGCGTTCGTAAGGCCGAAGGGCATAACGATGAATTCGTACAGCCCGTCGCGTGTCTTGAACGCAGTTTTGTGCTGGTCGCTCGGATCAACTTCAATCTGGTGGTAGCCAGACTTGAGGTCGATCTTGGAGAAGACTTTGCATCCACCGGCCGCATCCAGCAGATCATCTATACGAGGCAAAGTGTAGGCATTCTTCCTTGTGATTCGGTTCAAACCACGATAATCAATGCACATCCGGAGTTTGCCTCCTTTCTTCGGCACAAACAAAACAGGTGCGCCGAACTCAGACTCGCTAGGCCTAATCCATCCACGATCAATCATGTCATCAATTTGTCTCCGCAGCTCCTCCAACTCGCCTTGTCCCATACGGTAGACGCAGCCCTTTGGAGGGACACTCCCTTCTATTATCTCGATTTTGTGCTTGACTGGACGCTCGGGAACTCCGCGAGGTTCAACCAACACTTCAAGAAATCGATCTAATAGATGGCGAATGTTCGCTGGGATTTCTGGTGGAGGATCATCCTCATCAGGAGAGAGAAAATCAGATTGAGAATTTACAGCAATCACAACCGGTTTCGCCATATTTGGTTCCAAACTAGATTGATCATTTACAGCAGAAGTAGGAGGAACAGTAATAGTAGTAGTAGAGGTAGAGCTACCTTCAGAGGTAGAAAATGCAGCAAAAGTAGAAGGCACGTGGAAAGGCTTTACAAGAGCTATATGTACAAACTCAGCTTCCTTGCGCCTGCGCACTGACCTGCAAAATTTGTTAGCACTGAGAAGAGTCAAAAGGGACTCGCGCGTCTCGTCTAGTAAGACGGTACGTTCGTTCCCCTTGGCATCAAGTACCACGAACTGGTTGTCTGCCCACGTGGTCCTTAGGCAATGAGCCTTTAGCCAGCCCAAGCCAATGACCGCGTCGAAAGGACGCTTGTCCAGGACATAGAAATTCAGCTCATGTGTGACAGTGCGATCTTTGTCAAAGGTGATGCGCACACCTTTGACAGCATGAGTAGAAGTGACAACCTCTTGGTTGCCCACCTGAGTCCGGCAAGGGTTCTGCAGTTCCACTTGCTTCATACCCAGGCCCGCCTTACGAATCCCGTTTGGAGAGAAGAAATTAGTGGTCGAACCACTGTCAATCAGCACACGGATGTATCGGCGGTTAATTAGTAGTTTAAAGAAAATCAGCTCCACACTCCCTTGAACATGGTGTTGCTGCTTGAGCTGCAACCAATGCTTCATGTGGGCGTGGAGGTCGACCTTTTTAGACTCCTCCCAAGGCTCAATGTACAATACTTGGACTGCAACAGCCTGAGATTCAACATTAGTTTGGGCTTCAAGAGCACGCTGCTGATCAGATCCACGCTTCTCGGAAGGGCCTGCAACTGACTGCCCAGCTTCCCTTGCTGTAGAGAATGTTGATGACTCCTCTACGCCCCTTGCCTGTTTCCCTGAAGACGATAGCAATCCTGCACAGCATGCCCAGGCTTTAAACAATGCAAGCATACGCGCAGTTTGGATCTTCTTTCCCATTCTTTTTGGCTGATGCGGAGGGCTTCCCAAGGTTTGGTGGAAGCGTCCTCCGGTTTCTCAGGGATCTTAGCATTCTTGGGAAGGTGTACGACTGTTCCCTTACCCGAACCACGGTTAGGACCCTTATTTGAAGCAGTCTTCTTGAATGCGTTAAGTTTTTCATCGTCGTTTCGGTCACACTCAATGGCTGATGCAGAACAGCCCGCATCGGAGTCCGACTCTAGATCGTCATCCAGAGACAGATCATCCGCATAGGACTGATCCTCAGCCTCCCGATGGTCATGCAGTGCAAGCTGGTTGCTGCTTCCCTTGAGTTGTGGTTTCCCACCTGCAGCGGGCGCCTTCTTGCGCCTGGCGAGGTCCTTGGCCTCTAGGTTGACTAGATCCTTCATGAGCTTTCGCCAGGTAGCATGGTCTTTGAGTGCTAGCAAGGAGAGGTATTCTTTAGGGGCCACTCCCATGACTACATCCATGCAAGACACGTCAGTCATCCCCAGATCCGGAGTGGTGAATAGACTTGTCAAGTGCTGTTCTAAAGCTTGCATGGATGACCTCTATGTTTGGCCTTTGAGGGCCTCAAGCTTCAGCCTAGCCTTGAGCGCAGCGTGTTTATCCTGATACCGGTCAAGGAGAAGATCTTCAAGAGCGCGGACAGGGGTAACCTTCAGCCATTCAACCAGGTCTATGCGCTCATAGCCTGCAGCAACAGCTTGGAGCTCAATGTAGTTGTGTACGGCAGGCTCCGTATTAGTCCCCATGATCATACTTCGGTCCTCTTGCGGTGTCCGCATGACCTCGAAGTACGACCGCATTGAACTAATCCAAGAGGTGATGTCAACCTTCCCGTCGTACTTGGACGACAGCGTGGCCGCCCGCTTGTACACCATGGGACCGCTGTACTGAACGCCAGTAAGGACTGTGGCATTTTGGGCTGAAGTTCCTGCATTTGGGGCCGCGACCAGCGCAGAACTGTCGGCGCTACCGCTCGAGGAGCTGGCACCGGATCCTGCGCTTGCCGTGGTTCCACTTGATCTAACTATGAGGGCTGTGTTTGATTGAGAGACCGGGACTACAGCAGACCGAGGGTTAGGAGGGCGGGGGGCAGACAGTTGGGCCTGTTCAAGGCTAACTACCTTAGCCTGCAGCTCTTGGTTCCGCTGCTCAAGTGCTGTCATACGGGACTCAAGATCTTCCAAGTTCCGCAGTCGGACCAAGGCTGCGATGGCAGCAGCTAGCCTCTCCTGGAACCGGTCAGCATTGGCTTCCGGGACCTGTAGGAGGGCCTCCTGAGCAGCTATACTCTCAACTCTAGCTGCTGCCTCCGCCTCCCTTTCCCTCTGCACGACATCATCATACAACTTTTGAAAGAACGGTTTCTGGCTCTCGTCTGCTGCATCCAGCATGGCCTGCCATTGGTCAGATGTGATGACCGCCATGCTGGAGGAAGGGGTGTCAATAGAACTCTCAAGAGGGGTCCGCTCTCGCCTGACGTTTGGACGAACACTCCTCTTGCCCCTTCTCACACTCTCAAGCAACACACCTCTCTCCCTTTCCTCTCTTTTCGCTGTCTGCGCACGCGTCTCGATACTGGACATAGATAGTTCACATAAAAGAAACAAACAGAAAACCACTCAGAGAAGAAGGTAGAACTCCTCGCCGGAGCGGCGAATCATTTGGACTCTGAGTGTGGCACGCAGCAGAAGAAATAATAAAAATAAATAAAAAAATAAAACAACAGAGAGGTCTGATTTATAGAACGGGCCCGATCAGATCAGTTGGAGATCCCCTCTTGTCTAACCTGACAGAGGACGTGTCAGCACAATAAATCAGACGAAGAAGACTAACTGCAACAATGGAGATTTCGAGGGGTGCAGATGGTCGCCGAGTCAGACGCGGGGCAATATGTGATCGCACGCCGTAAGACCAGTCAAGATCCCCTTGAAAGGAATGCCCTTGTTGTCCGTGTGTCCCCCAGATTCAGCACAGCAAAGTAATGCACCGACGACAGCAAATCTGGGCCCAAAAAGGTCCTGTCCCGAGGCCTGGTCCCACTGGGTCCCAAGGGGTCCCAAGTAGGCCGTGGACCAGGACCAACGTGATAGGGGTGCCAAGTCGGTCCCAAACTGCCTCTACCGTACTGAAAAGGAAAAGACAACTTTCAGCAAGAACTCACTTCTACAGCCGTTCAGAAATGAAAAGACAATGCACCGTAGAAAGATATGTCATTTAGAGTAGATACATCATCCATCCATCCATCAAGTGAGAAAGCAATCCACAAGCTCACACACACAACCAAGACCGCAAAGAAGAGGAAGAGAACCCAGCACACCCCCAACAGGCCATGAAGCACCAAGCAACCTCCCAGGGGCTTACCCAGGTCACACGACACTTACCTGCGAGGCCCGGCCTCCAAAGATGGATAACGAGTCACTCCCCTCTCATATAAGTCCTCCTGACCCCTAGCTACTACTACACGAAGTGTCCTAGCATGGCTAAGAGGGCCTTCCTACACCCCTGTTGCAAAGTCGGATCCCCCGTCGATGCCTGAAGACCAAAGCAGCAACTTGCAGCAATCCGATGCAGATATGGCAGCCTCCGATCAAGTCTCCCTCTTGAGGGGAAGCCCAAAAGTCACTCARTGTCTTCCTGAAGTCCAGATTCCAGGTGCGAGTACCTCTCACTCTCTACTCCCTCTCGCTTACTCCAAACAGCCTCCTTTGTGTCTCGCCACCCCATACATTCACTCAAGCAACCTGGTTGGGTCCAATGTCGACCCTACATGACCTAACCAGGTGGGGGCAGCATCCCCATACCTCGCTGCCCCACTTAACCCTAACTTCCCAACCCTAATCCGAGATTAGGTCAGCCTTAACCTAATTCGAAATTAGGGTTAGGATGACTAACACCTCTCGCCAGCAAGTAAGTCCGCTCCGATATCAATTGTTATGATCCTGGTCATTTCCCAAGTGCAAATTCACAATGAAAGACAATGCCACCAAATTGCGAAAGAAATGAAAGCACTTGCAAGAGATAAGGACCAGAGGAGAGGTAAAGAGGAAGAAGAAGAAGAAGAAGAAGAAGAAGAAGAAGAAGAAGTACACCAGCAAGACCAATGACAATTCCCCTTCTCTCTCCACCTTCCTCCTTCCTCCTCCTCTTCACCAATCTTATTCTTCTCTCAACAATAATAATAACAATGAATGGATGAACCAGAATCAATGTCCGAAGTTTCCCCCTTACTGCTGACTCAACTCACWACCCAACMACAACAACAAGTCCACCATGGYTATGTCCTCCCTCCTTCAACCTCCTCTCTCAAGCATAGGCCATGGCGGACTACTAGAAGGCAGCTATGATGCTGCCCTGATGCCGAAAGACAACCCAAAGCAGCTATGTCGCTGCTTGACTTGGTCCGCTATGCCTGACTCTGCCTCGAGCTGCCCTGGTGCAGCGTTACCCCGACCAGGGCCTTCCAGATGCAGCGCCCGACAAGGTGATGAAGACGGTGTCCACCATAGCCAGGTAAGTGCCCTACCACTCTCCTACCATGTCCCCCTTCTTCCTCCTTCAAGCTGCGGTGCTCGCCACAGCCAGGCTGAGCCCCCAGCAGACCTTCACCTCCAAGCAGCGCTGCTTCAGTCCAGCGCTGCGCTCCAGCAGCATGTCGCCAATCCTTGCATACCGCAAATGAGGAAGAGCTCACCGCTCTTCCTGAAGATATAGCGGCCTACCGGCYTCCTGGGCGGTGACTTCCTAGGCCAAGCGGCCTCCCAGCAACCGGTACCTCCTCCCTTTTGGARGGAAACATCATTGCAGGCTCTGTTATTGTCYGCACAGGCCCTAGACCCGGGCTACTTGGACTGGTACCGRCCTACCTCTAACCTACCGCTACTGGGCCTCTAAAAATGCCARCTTTTTGTCTTCTTCTGCTCRGCCTACCTGCTACTTGAGTGTTTTTCCCCAGCTGCTCTAAGTGTCGTGGGCCTACTCCCCGCTACCGGCATGTTTACCCCCCTGCAACCCTTCAAAGTCACGGCCACAGGYAAGTACCGGCCCGGTGGGCCTTGCAACCAACAAGTACCCTGGCGGGTCACRCACATACCCAACCAGCAAGCAYTCAGACAGGCATGCAACCCAGCAGGCACGCACACACACACAACCGGCAAGCACTCAGACAGGCATGCAAACCAGCAGGCACGCACACACACAGACTTGRGACCACAGCAGAATGCGGGAATCACAACAAGGCATTCATTCCATTGACAAATCCCAGAAATCAGCAGTGTTCTCAGTCTGTGTTTTGGGCGGGTCATTACACTATCCGGTATCACGGTCCCATGCTGGTGCCTGAACCTCATACTAACTTCATAAGTCTAAATGCACGCATAGCCCAGATATTTTCACCCAGTAAGGATGGAATTGCCTTTCGGTGAGTCCTCAGGTCACTTGACCCCTTCCTCACAGGGCACCTTAACCAACACCAGGCCAGGACTGAAGAACGAAGAACAGAAGACAAAGAACACAGGAAGGAAAAAAAAAATAAAAAAATCTTGAAACACTGATGCTGAATGGCTACACCGCACCTGGACCTTGACACCATCCAGAGTAGACCTGGGACCGGACCCACACACAGTAGAGTCTGGATACCATCCAGGAATTCACAGATTCAGATCTGTCTGGACCCCAACCAGAGATGCACAGACCCAGATCTGATCCAGTCCAAAGGGGCTTACAAAAACAGCCTTCTATTTTCATTCCCTAACCCCTACCTCCTCCCCCTTCCTTCAATTTTTTTTTATTTTTTATTTTTATTTTTTTTTATTTTTTTTAACGGCCCCTTTGGTGCTAGTGGTGCTGGTAAGATCAGACAACGCTAGCACTTTTGGATAGGCTCCATCTATTTGTGGGGAGCGTCACCTGCTGGAAAGCGGGTCCAGCGTCCCATTTACAGAATAGTCTTGGGTCAAGTTGGGTGATATCAGGACACAAAATTTGAGAGGTACCTGCCAGCATTGATTACTCTGTGGAGTCCAGAGGATTGACTGAGCAGGCCATTAGAGAGAGGGGAGAGAACCTCTTCGCCCTGTACCAGGTGCCAGATATCCACTATTACCGACTAGTTCCTTCCTCCCCCCCTTTGTTCACTCAGGCAGTAATATAGATGAGGAGACTAGAGGAGACTAGACTCTTTTTTTTTTTTTAAAAGGCTGTATGCAGACTTGTAGAATCATGAGTGCTTTAACGCTGATCCTTATCGTCAACCACCACCGTTGTCCATAGTCTACCGCATCGTGTCTGCAGGGACCGTCCACCCCCAGGGAGCACCAGGGGCACCGCCGTTGTCCATAGTCTTCCGCATCGTGTCTGCAGGGACCGTCCACCCCCAGGGAGCACCAGGGGCGGATTCTGCCCTTTAAGTATCAGGTTAGGGTTTCTACCAAGGAGAGAGGGTGGAGCGGGAAAGGGTCCGGGAAGTCGGAAGGTGGTCTCATGGGGAAGGAGGGTTCGACATCGGTCCACTCATTAAAGAGAAGCCTGTAATCTCTGCAGGGCTCTTGCTCCTGCTCTGTCCCACTGGTTTTAGGGTTTAGGGTTTAGGGTTTAGGGTTTAGGGTTGAGTGTGCGACGGACTAACTCAAGTCCGTCGACTCTGCACAAAAGTTTGTGAGCGCTCGCTTGATGTCCTGGCTACTGCGAAATATGTCCAGCTGTGTTTTGAGGGCTTGCCATCTACGTATGAGCTCCAACTGGATCTGCTCTTTGATCCGTTCTGCCAATTCCCTCCCTTCTACCCTGGCCCCTTCCACAGAATGACACTCAGATAAAAGTGGTTTATATTGCAATGCGACGCCACACGTGTGTGTCCTCCAGATTTCAGAAAACTTCTAAAAATTAGGAAAACATGGGCTTCTAGTAGCCTTCTATGTTGACCGTAAGAGGCATCCAAACATCGTTATCTGGACACCAGCATCCTCACAGACTGCATGCTTGTCCGTATGTGATGGCCATAAATACTAAATGTTAAAGCGTAGAAAACTACATCATGGAGCTGAAGAATGTGATAGAGGCAATCGGTTCCATTCGGTCTAGAACCAGAAGAACACCCAGTCCATTCCCCGGCTATTTTGTTCCAACGTGGCAGTTAACGTGCAGCATCCTTCGGGGAGCTCGGGCCACAGAACAGAAAGGCTGGCAAGGGCAGGACAGGATCGGCAAAACTTGGCGTACAGCAGAAATTGACATTGGAGAAAGGAGTCGCGGACGTAGTGGTGGTTTAATAATTTATGCTTCTCTTTTTTTCTTTTTTTTTTTCCCTTTCCTCTTTTGCTGTGTGCGGCATGGGGAGCTCGGCCTACAGAACAGAAAGGCTGGCAAGGTCGGGACAGGATTGGAAAAACTCGGACGTAGTGGTGGTGTAATACCTCATGCTTCTTCCT